TACCACCCACCACCACCCCCAGCCAGCCCTGGGAGACCACAGCTCGGTCTTGTAGCCTTGTTGGGGGCGTGTTGTCGGCGCCTCCACAAGCCCGTCGGGACGGCGGGGCCATAGCCGGGAGCCCGGGGCGGGAGCGGAGCGAGAACTCGGCCAGCTGGAGCTGGTGGCTGGAAAATTGTCATCGCCTCGGAGGCGCGGGAGCCCCGGGAGAGGCAAGCCGCCGACTCCTCCTTTCGGGGTGGCGGGCCGGCACTGCCAGGCTGTGGCTCAGCCGCATTCCTACCCTCTGGGCGGGTCGGGCTTCCAGGACACTGAGAGGGAACCCCAGCCTCCCCCGAGGGTCCTGTAGGCCTGGCACCCCCCAATCCCCCGCCCACCCCCAGCTCTAGCCGCTTCCAAGGGCCTGTCCCCTCCTGACCAGTTCCAGAGAGAGGGGTGTGCTCTGGGCTTTGATTCAGAGAGCAAAGAGGGCCAACCTTTGGGGACCGTGTTAGTTGTCTTAGAGGGGAACTTTGGCGAAGGATCCCCACCAGTCTCCTGGAGGCCTCCTTTGTCCTGCACACTAAGTGAGAGACTTTTAGGTGGGCAGAAGATTTAAAAATTAGTTGTTTTATTTTATTTTAAAATGTTTATTTAAAGAGAAAACTTCAAGTCTGTTTTGCCTTAGTAGTCACTTAGATGGTGGTGTTTATTGTCTTTACTTCCATCTCAGGGAGGCCACATCCTGCCTACAGTTCACCTAGGTCTCCCCACCTTGGGGACATGTTTGTAGTCCTCTCCCCTGTGTGAAGCAGTCAGTGGTAGCTGCTGTTCGCAGTGTTCACGTTGAAGCTTTGACGCCCCTGTAGCTGCAGCGCTTGTCCCACTGGGGCTGCTCTGCTTGGGCATCGGTACATTTCTTCATTTCGCTTGGCCTTGAGAGCACTGCCTGCCTGGCCTCTCTCAAGCCTCAGCTTCCACATCTCCTGAAAGGCCACACACACATTGTAGCCTTCAGTGCTTACTCTGTCTGCCTGGCATGCCTTTCCCCTCCTGGTCCCATACCCTCCTACCTCTTCCAACAGCCAGTCAGCTTTTCCACTTGTCAAAGCCCTGCTGCCTTTGTGGCCCACTCCTTGCCACCTCCTGCGGGACACCTCACTTGATGCTTCCTTAAACCAAATTGGAGTCTGTGGCTTTGTCCCGCATCTGCGATGGCACCTCGTTCACAGATCTGTCATAGCCCTGGTATCCAGGCTATTGCTGAACTGTCAGAGTTTGTCCCACCCCATGTGGGTGTCTGCACCTGACACAAGGTGGATGCTCAGTTGGGTGGGCAGGGATGGGGGGAGCGGAGAGCTGAGTACCTGGGTGGACCCCTGGAAGAAGAGTCATGCAGGAGTTGGAAAAAGAGTTGCTTTAGGTTTTCTAATGCCAGGTATTTGCACTTTTCATTATAATCTCATGGTGTCCATGTCATTCTTGTCCCCCAAGACTTGCCTGGGTGGTGCCCCCTGTGGTTGTGGGTACCTGGCACCCAGAGAGCTGGGGACAAAGCAGAGTCCACTGTCTCTATTTGAGGACTGTCTTCAGAAGCTCTGAACAAACAGTGCTCATCCCCTTGCCCACTCATCCACTAACCTTGGTCTTCAACCACAGCCTCTTACCCTGCTCTTAGACTTGCTAACTCTTCACCCAGACTCAGGAGCTAACCCTCAACACCTCTGTCTCCCTGTACTGCCAGGCTCCCCTATGTCCCTACTTGACAACTTATCCTGGTAACATGATAAAGATGCCAGAGCCAACCTTCTAGAAATATCTACAACCTTCATCCTGGAAGGCATTGAGGTAGAGCTGCCACCTGCACATTGTGGCCCACATGGATCCTTCTCTCTAATTAGTCCAAGAGAATGACAGCTCCCCAGTGAGCACGGGGACTCAGGGCTGCTGGCTTCGAGTCTGCTCTGTGGTAATGTTTGCACACTCGGCATAGGTACTCCCAGTACAATCAGTGCCTGAACACTGGCCTGCCCCAATTGTGGATGTAGCTGTCTTTTTGTCTCCTTGATGAGCCGGAATGCCCAATGCCTTGACTAGGCTGAATGACAGCTAGTGCTCCGGGAACGCAGGGTTCTGGGGAATTGAGTTTTCTGACAAGTTTTCTGGAAGGTATCATTTTGCCAATGAAACTCTATGGGTTTGCAGAATTATTCCAACTTGGGTGGTGGTAGGTCAGGGATGGTCTCAGATGAACATTACAAATCACTTTCCATAGTCCATGGGCAGAGATGGGGGGAGTTGGACTCAGTCTTCACTTTAAAAACAAAAAACCCTGTTAGTAATTTTTTGGTTTGGCCTTTCTGCAATATTAATGAAATGATGACAGAAGCGATGTCACCTCAAGAGTTCTGGTTACTTGTTAGCTGCCACCAAGTCAGCTCCTGACTTACTGTGTGACCTCATGAACAAGGGGACCTGACTGTTGGGATCTCTAGGGTTGTCACTGGCTGATTTTTGGATGTTGATTACCAGGCCTTTCTTTCTAGTCCCTCTTAGTCTAAACACTGCTGAAATCTGTTTAACTTGCAAGCCACCAATAAGAGATGGGTGGGGCTATGCTGAAGTGCATTGGCTGAGAATTGAACCTAGGTCTCCCACATGTTGTTGTTAGGAGCCCTTGTGTTGATCACTGTGCCTCGTTATGTTTGAACTCATTGGTACAGCTACTGTTACCAGTCCATCGTGTAGGGAGAAACGCCTTGGGATCTTGGCACATTTCATTATAATGCTTTCCTTTGTATTCTTGAGCTGTCCTTTGGAGTTTTCTGTTCAGTTCTTTCGTTTCCTCATTTCCTCCCTTTGCTTTAGCGACTTTCTATTCAAGCCCACTTTGGTCTTTTCTTTCTTGCCTGTCTATTTCATGACCTTTTGCTTTCTTCATGGGTGATGCACTTCTTGTTGGGTCTCCCACATGGAAGGCCAAATTGTATCTCTGAACTACTACTGCCATTTCTATTTAAAGTAGGGGAATCCAGGTTTTCCGATAGCATTGCTGCAGGATGTTGCAGCAATCCAGTCGTGTCTGGGATCCAAGACCCCGTGGTTAGGCTGACATCCTAACCATGTTCTTCTCCATCCTCACAGAATCCAGTCTCACTGCCTAACCCCCTGGCCTCTGGCTGTTCGGCAAGATTGTGCCCTCAGTCCTTTGGTGAAGGAGTTGAGTTTGATCCCCTACCACCGACTGAAGTAAGGTAAATAGAGCAGAGTCTGATTTCATGTTTTTAAATTTTCATTGTTTATTTCAAGTATTAATGCTTACTGGGGGTGAAAAATGTAGTTAATTGCAAAAGCATTGGTATGCATTCAAATGTTTTTCTTCTTTGCATACATAACCAATTAAATATATACACACGCTTTTCAGAATTAAAATGAGATCATGCTATACTTAAAGTTCTGAAACATTTTTCCCTTGATATACCATGGCCATCAGATATTTTTAAATTCATTCAAAATAAATTTCCCAAGTTGCTCCTCACTCTCCCCAGCTCCACCCCCACCTACCTCCAGGTGCTCTGACCTTGTTTGGGGTAGTCTCACTTGGCAGGGAACATTCCTCCTTTGGGAATTTATCTGATGGAGAGTTTTTGTTGCTGTGACTGTGTGCTGTCCAGTCGGTTCCGACTCACAGGGAGCCCAGTGTGTGACCTGGGAGCAGAGATTCATGGAGTGGCTTATTTAAAGATAGGCCTCTTGAGAGAAAGGAATTCCACTTTTCGCAACTGGCGGCTTTATAGCTGTCATTTCAGTGGCAGGAATACAAAGGACCTTTTGATAGTGAACAAAAAAACGTTTCCCAGTTTGGAGGTGAGCGGTTGAGCTTTGTATTCCTGTGGAGCTTGTATTTTGAACGAGATAGAGGCATGGCTTGATGACATTAACTCCAATCAGTCTCTCCTGTGTGTCCAAGGAGAAAAGAAATTTACGTTGGACTCACAGAAAAGAGTGGTAGTTCTTACTCACCTATCTAGGACCTAGCTAGGGGCTGCAGGGGAGGTGACAGTGCTGTTAGACGGATGTATACATTATACTCTTGAAATATCTTTAGGTATCTGGTGGTGGTGATTAGGTGTCGTGGAGTTGGTTCCAACTCACAGCGACCCTATATAGAGTTTCTGAGGCTATAAATCTTTACAGGAGCAGAAAGCCTCATCTTCTAAGGAACAACTAACTGGTAGTTTCGAACTGCTGGTCTTGAGGTTAGCAGCCCGACTCGTAACTACTAGGCTATCTGAGCTCCTTCTTTAAGTATCTATGAAGCTGCAATAATGCAGTAAAATGCATTCATGCCTTGTTTCCATGAAAAGAAATTAACTCCCAAATTGCCACACAAAGTATCAAACTGGTTACCATGGCGTCAATTCCAACTCCTGGTGGCACCACATGCGTCGGAGTAGGACTGTGCTCCAGAGGCTTTTCAATGACTGTTTCCTTTTAGAAGCAGATTGCCAGGACTTTCTTCCAAGGTACTTCTTGGTAGATTCAAACTGCCAACCTTTTGGCTAGTAGCCTAACTGTTTGCACCACCTAAGAACTCTCAAATTGTCACACAGAGACCTGAAGAAAGATGGTAGCTGTTAGGGAAAATGGACGTTAATTTATTTTATGGAAATCAAGATGGTAATTGGCTTCGGTTCCTATGATGATGTTCTTGAGTCCCTAGGCTTGAGGGGTCTCCAAACCATAGCCCAGCACCAAAACACACAACAGAAAACCCAGACTCACTGCTATGCAGTGGATTCTGACTCTAGCGACCCTATACAGGACAGGGTAAACTGTTCCCTAGGATTTTCACGGCTGTGAATCTTTACTAGCGTGGTGGTTACATGCTGCTAACTTGGTTCCGACTCATAGTGACCATGTTTAGGTTTCTGAGGAGTGGCTGGTGAGTTTGAACCACCAACCTCATGGTCCAAACCAACCTTGCAGTTCAGTGCTTGATCCCAAAGCACCACATCAGGAGCCCTTATTGGAGTGGACAGCATGTTTACTGGAGTAGACAGCCTTGTCTTTCTCCCTCAGAGCAACTGGTGGACTCAGACTATTGTCTCTGTGGCTAGTAGCCCAACGCATACATAACCCATTATACTATCAGGGCTCCAAAGTGGGCCAAATACTGGTTTGTGGTAGAACTGTGCTTTCTGAACCAGCATTCAGGTTCCTACTGACTGATCCCTTGAGGGTTCAGAGAGGGTTCATTGTTTTTTGTTAGTGGAGCAGTAGAATCTACCCATCCTGTGGAGTAGTTACTACAGGCAGCACTTGACGCATGTTCACTCCCTGAATGGTCATGATGGGGTACTCATTACAGAAAGGGGCCCTGCCAGCAATTCAAACCCACCAGCTGCCCTTTGAAACTCTACCTAGGGTCACTATGAAGTCTGAACTGCTTGGATGGTATACAACAACAACAATTATAGAAAGAGGAAACAGAGGTTTAGAAAAGTTAAGTAACTTGGTCAAGACCTCGTAGCTTAACTAAACGGGAGTAGAGCCCAGAAGCTGTGCCTATAGTGAGACAGTGAATACAAGGCTAAACTTTAGAACCTGCGTACCTGGATTCAAATCCCAACGTAACTACTGTACCTGAGTTTCCTCTCCCAGCGTTCTTGGGAAGATTAAATGAGATCCCATAAAGTGCTTAGGATAGTACCTTGCACAGCGTTAAGAGCTCCACCCACGGTACCGCTTCTCAGTGCAGTAGTTGCATCTCAGCATTTGTGCCCTTGAGAAGGTTCAAGGTCACAGTTAAGTGCACCCAGACCGGAGGAACAACTTCATGCTGCCTTCTGTCTCTGACACAGGTACACTTCCTCAGTCAAGTACGACTCAGAACGGCACTTCATCAATGATGTCCACATGCCCCTGGGCCTAGCAGTGGCCTCCTGCAGCCAGACGGTCACCTGTGTCCCCAACTGCACGTGGCGCAACTATAGGGCCGAGGTGCGCTTCGAGCCCCGCCACAGGCCCACACGCTTCCTCAGCACCACCATCGTCTACCCCAAGTACCCCAAGACCATCTACACGACCACCCTGGATTACAACTGTCGGAAGACACTGAGGAGGTTTCTGTCCAGTGTGGAGCTCGAAGCCACTGAGTCCGTGGGCAGCGAGTGTCTCTCGGACGAGTGTTGACTCACACAGGCTGAGCTGGGTTGGACCGCTTCGTCTGCTTCCCTGGTCCCCAGGCTGTCCTGGTCCAGTGGGGCACTGCCACCTTTATGCATCCCCAGAGGAGTCTAGCCTAGAGATACCACTAAGCCCAGCCTGGGGAAACAAAAAGATAGTATTACATCTTAGCGTTATTGAGAAAATCTGTTTTGTTTGTTTCAATGTTTAAAATTGTTCTTAAGAGGAATTGATTTCCTGGTTTGCTGCTGTATAATTTTACCCTATGTCTCAATTTGGTGAGAAAAGAAAAAGAGAGCAGAAGGAAAATAGCAAAAATCTGAAATGGGGGTCCCTGTGAATGGCTCCCATCAGTCCTGAAAGCAGACTTGGTTGCTCATCCTCTGTTGCTCAGTTTATCTGAGGAAGAGCATGGAAGAAGTCTCTGGGATGATGGAAAAATTGAGTCTTCAGAAATTTCAGCCAGGGAGGCTTCACTAACTGCTACAAAAGTGGTGCTAACTCAGAACGTCATGATACCCATATGGGTTCAATCTGCGGAGAGTTGAGTTCCATTTCATTGTTTTATTTTCATTTGTATTTCCTGTCAACCCAAACGCTTGGAATTCTCTAAATCGTTTTCATGATATCGAAAAATCCCAAACCACAATGTAAGATGCTTTCTTTTCTTTCTTTTTTTTTTTTTAAATAAAACGGGGTTCACTTTGTTTTTACCTGCTTCAGGGACTGCTGAGTTCCAGACCAGTGGCTTTGGTTCCGGTTCTTCCAACCTCTGTTCCGAGGCGCAGGCTCTGGCAAAAACACCTGGCGTCTTTGGCATTTGGGGAATATCTCTGCGGACTTGTGTAACTCTGATCTGCATTTTAGGTTTTCCAAATACTTGCCTGTTTTTCATAAGGCACAATGTAGCAGGGAGTTTTTGCTGAGAGGAAAAAAAAAACGTGTTTTGAAAGAATGTTTTGGAAAAACACTTTTGAAATTCCACCAGCAGGGGTTTCATTGACACTAAGATGGGCGCCTAGGGTCACACATGAGACTCAGTGCCACTGGGGAGGAGGTGGCTGTAGACGCTTCTGGGGACTGGGTCCATCATCATCAGTATCCCTTCCCAGGGATGCTGGCTTGACTCGCTGTAAGGACTTTGGTGGTGTCAAAATTGCAGAAAAATCCTGCCAGTGTCTTGGGTCTGATCCAAAAAGCAAGGATATCACCATTCAGACTCCAAAGCTGATCAAAGTTACCTTCAGACTCAAGGATGATGTCACAATTCAGACTCCTAAACCTGGACACTTGTGATGGGATAAATGTCTCTTCACTTTTCACTTTACTGTGACGATCATGGAGTTGGATGCTAACTGAAGATGTTGCCAAATAGGCTTTGTGGATTCATCTGATTTATGGAATCAGAGATGGCCACTGGTCCAGGAGAGTCCAGCAGGCCCATCTCAAGACCTGCCTCACACAACCACCCTACCCTATCCCAGTCCAGCCCTTTCTTGGTCTTCCTGCTAATCCCTGTGTTTTTTTTAGTAAAGAAAATGGCAGGTGGCATTTTTCTTCCAAGTGTTGGAAGATGTTTGCATTGGCTACATCTAAATTGACATCGTGGTTGCCCAAAAGTGGGCTCAAACCTAGCAGCAATTGTGAGGATAGCACAGGCCCAGGCAGTGTTTTGTTCTCTTGTACATAGAGGGTTGCTATGAGTCAGAGCTGATTCAAGGGCACCTAACGGAACAACAATACACTAGGGGGCCTCCAAAAGTTTGTAGGAAAAGTCCATTCCCTTTCAATTCCATGAACTTTTTGAAGCCCCCTCATTTTTAAATCCTGTCAAGTGCTCAAGGGTTTCTGAGTGCTGCGAACTCACCAGGTGCCTGTGGATGGCTCCCATCTGTAATGAAAGCAGAATTGATAGCTCTGTGGGCATCCTGAAGCCACCGCAGGGAATTTTGTTACAGTTCAAGCAGGTGTGATGATAATCACTCTCATTTAATGTCATTGAAGGCCTAGAGAGCCAAACTGTCTGGTGTCCTCTTCAGACTTCACAATGTTTACTCTGTTGTACTCCTAACTGATCGGGCACATCTTTTTGGACAGGAGCCTGTAGTTGCCTTAATGGTCCCGAGTTTGTCAGGGTGAAGCCTGGGGGGCACTTTGGGACCCTGTATTATCCTCAAGCTCTCATTATAGAGAGAAACAAATGCTTCCTGTGTTTGGAAGAGCAAATGACACCGCGTTTGTTGATAAAAATGGATTTTTCTATCTGGTTTCATAATCTTGTCATTTGAATGGTAAATGTCACTTTAAAATTGTGTTAAGAGAATCCCTAAGGCTTTGCTCTGACCCACAGAGGCATTTGAATGAGGTCACAATTATACTGCCAGCAGCATGGCAGAAGTCTCTTGGGGACGGGGGTGAGGGTGCGGTACCAAAGGTTAAGTGCTGTACAGCTAACTGATGTGGTAGTTTGAATCTACCCAGAGATGCCTTGGAAGAAAAGCTTGGTGATTTGCTTCTTAAAAATCAGCCATGGAAAACCCTTTGGAGCATAGTTGTACTCTGATACACATGGGGTTGCCTTAAGTCAGACTCTGTCCACTGTGGCAGCTTATTTAATTTTGTTTTGATGGAAGGTGAGAGAGAAAGAGACAAGCGTGGGAGAATGTGCCTTCTAACATAGCAATAGTGGAAGCTGTCCGTAGGGTATTTTTTGATTTAAGGAAGTTGTGTAAAGTTCCAGGTATGGAGAGAGACTGAAATCTAGCAGTGAAGCAAGTAGAAGTGAGCGAGTGCGAATGTGTAATGAGAATGGAGGAGCAGGGTTTATTAAGTTATTCATTAGGGAACCCACTGTGTTGTTGTTGTTGTTAAGTGCCATTGAGTCGGTTCCGACCCATAGCGACCCTGTACAGGGTTTCCGAGGGTGCCACTG